GAGGCCAGCTGGCCCGGGGCCTCCTGCAAGGCTACCCTCAGCCACCCCTGCAGCAGGAGGACCTGTCACCAAACGGGTGCCCGCCCCCGCGAAGCGTCACCATTGTGGGCAGCGAGCTCCAGTGCTTCGAATCATCGCCTTCCTCAGGGTGGCAAGGGTGGGAGGTGTGCACAGAGGGTGCTGTGCATCTCGTAGCGCTAAGGGGGCAGATAAACCAGAGCGGGCTGGTGTGCTCCCCTAACAGTGGGGACGATACTCGATCTGCGTGCCTTGCCATGTCCCTATCAATGAGGGGTGCCCTCCAGTCTAGAGAGAGACGGGGAGGTGGACTGGTGAGCACCTGTAAAACAATCATGGGCCAAACCAAGCTGCCTGGAGGTGGGACTTGCCTGGGGTGTATTAAGTCAGTCTTGGCACCACTTGGCTTTGAGACCTGTTTCATCACACCATAGAGAGAGCAGATCTCACCTGGATGGATGCCTTGTTTCTGCCACTGTGGCTGGCGAGGCTAGTACTTTATGGGAGCAGCTGTAGTTCCACCTCCAACTTTGTGTTACTGGGTTTCACCCAAAAGCTGGAGAAGCAATTTTTTTTTTTTTTTTTATTCCTCAGAACTTAAATGTTCCAGGTAGTCAGCGGCCCAACCATGCCCTCTGTTTTTTTTTCCAGGAACAACACTGAACCTGTTGAAATTTCCAATTATTAATCCTACATGTGACAGGATATTCCGAAGGCAGGAGAGGCTGAAAGAGGAGGCAACAAAAACAGAAGATCAGCTAAGCGGTGAAGAAAAAAAGTACCTTAATCACCTTAAAAAGCAAGGTTACTTAGTGGGTGAGTAAAGGTATTACCCCTCTGCCCTGATGAAAATACTGCTTTATAGAAAGGACTGTTAACTCCTTAATTTGCTGTAGGATCTAGCTGGTTTTGGCAAGTAATTTCTTCCCATTCTGAAAGAACTCATTTCCATTTAATTATGGGAAGAACATGCTATCTGTAGTAGCAATAAAAAAATTCCAAACTTGCATTCAAGTTATTTTGGTCAGTTTTTGTTCCCTGAGTAGTGGGTGCAAGACCTCTGGCTCCTCTGTAAGTAGCATCATTAGTATTTCTTTCAAGTACTTATTTTTCACCTGTTGTAGTAGCGTCGTAGAGGTTTCCTCTGTGCAGTGCACCTCCCATCGGCCAGGCATTCGCTAATCTAGTTAAGATAGCTTAGTAGTTTACAATGGTATTGCAATGTAGGCTATGTCTCATTCCCCAAGGAAGAAAACAGGTTTCATTTTTAAATAATCACGTTTTGGCTGCAGGCTGCAGTGGTTGTGCATCATTTTAGTATGTATCCAAAAGAGGGGGTTGCCAGAAGATAGCTCTGATTTTCAAATAATTCTATGTTTGACAGTCTAAGGCACTGAAAAAAGAAGGCAGCCTGCTTTACTGTAAAATGGAAATGATGGGGTATCTGTGATCTGGTCTCTGCTAAGGTTTATGGGCTTGAGGAGTGCTAAGCAAGAATTATAGAAGGAATTTCGTAGCATCCTGGCTTTTGAACACGCAAATTTCTAGCCACATAGCATCTTTATCACCTTTATATTACCAATGTGCATCTCTTTTAAGCCAGGGAAGGGACAGATGTCCAATTGAAGGAAAGACAAGTTAATAAATTAATTACCAGGAAACCTTTCATTTTAATCCAGGAAGAGTTGGAAGAACGTTTCAACGGCAGAAGTCTAGCCCTGTGGTTGACTTTGACCCTGATATGCTCTCGTACAGCATAGATGAAGATCCCAGACATTCACCTAGGAAGCGTGAGGAAAGGGAAGAGTTCACATACAACGAAGTGAAAGATGCTCGCTGGTGTTTTGACACTCCAGGGATTGTAAAGGAAAACTGTGTAGGTACTCTGTGGTGCTGTGTTTCAGGAGGTCAGGGTTTGGGAGGACTGTTCTGCCTTAGCTGTGCATGTGGGAGAGTATTTCTGCTGTAGTCCTGGGGTTGGGATTCTTTTGGTTTGGGCAATTGTCTTAAAATATGGTTTGTATTTACTTGGGAAGGGTTCATTGTGTTAACGCTGTTACGTTTCTGATTAATGCATACTGTGATCTTTTCAAAGGAACTGTATGACTGCGTCAGCAAAACTTTCTTAACATCTGAACGAAGGGAAGTAAGCAATAGTGCTATAAGCAAGTTTATACCATCATCACCCGAAGAAGTTTGCACCTTTTTAGCTCTGCCAGTCTACTAAAAAAGGTGGAGCTTAGGAGGATAACCAGTGTTGTGTGACTGAACCGAATCTTTGAGAAAGCATTCTCCTGAAGCTAACAGGATCTGCAGTGTTCCCGTTAAAAGCTTCGATATGTCAGGCCTACCTCAGTGTTTCAGTAGAGCAATGGCTCTGAAGCCAGTGCTGATGTAGTGCACACATCCAAAAAAGTCATGTTTTGATTTTTGATCGCTTTGATATCTATGCAGAGCTGCAGGTCATCTTTTTGGGAAGATTAAAAAGTACAAAGAGATAGGAAAGTTCTGAAGAGAAGGAAGCACAAGAACTGTACTGAGACTGCACAGCTCAAGTGCAGATGCTGCTTTTATGAACACTAGAAAACTACTGGCTTTCTAGTAGATATGTTTGCCAGATCGTAACCCACTTTACTGTGGCACTTTACTCTCTGATAGCTGGTTAGTGTCCAGTGTAAAGACAGTCATCAGCTTAGAGGCCTGGTTTGGTAACTGGAGATTGGATATGTTCTTCCCCCCTTCTGGAGTTGAATAAGTGTGGAAAGCAAGTGGGCTTTCCTACGTCCAGAAATACTTGCTGCCGTTTCTGATTTTGATTATCCTGGCTGTGCCTTTGGAGAGCTACCTGCCAAGTTTCAGATCAAATTTTGTTTCTGCGATCAGTGTTCGATCTGGCTGGAGGACAAGCAGATGGTCTATGTGGCAGAGTTTGGCCAGGGAGATTTCTAGTTACGAGCAGGTTTGGTTTTGGGTTTTTTTTTACTTTGGAAGACAAGGGAGGGAAAGCGGCTGTTAGCATATGATGGAATTACATTTTTGTCCTTATTCCTTGGGGGTTTGTTTTTAGCTGCTTCCTTATGACTCCTTCCAAAGCTAAACTTTGGGAAAGCTTAGAAGAGGATTACTGATAACTCTCAAATTTTGGTTTAAGCATTGCCAAACACATCAGAAAACCTGCAGCTAGCAGGGCAAAGCCTCCTGGTCTTTCAGAATCGGTGTTGAAGGCTGCCCTGACTTCCAAGCTAAAGATTGTCTGCTTGTGAACATTTGGGTTCTGGCTGCACCACAACCCTTGTTAGTTCGGTCTTTTGATGCTGAATTGAGGTGAATCCTCATGGCCAGACTGCTACAAACTTGTATTTGCGTGACTGTGGCATGCATGGGGGACAGAGTTGGAAACATTTCTGCTGTCAGTTCCCTGTGTTTAGGAAAGAGACACCATCAACCTGGAGACTAGTTGTTTCCTTCAAGGCGCTGCTTCCTGAACTTCTGTGCCTGCACATTGTTTCATAGCTGGGTTTGAACAGTGCTTCTTTAGGAAGCGATCAGACCGCTGTGTCTGCAGCACTGCTGGTTAAGTCACTGGCTTTTCAGTAGACTTTGGGGTGGATCATTTCACTGAAAAAAGTTAGCACCTGAACAGATGAGTCAGTTAAGCCAGGAAATGGAAGGGAAGAGGGAGGAGAGGAATACAAGCAGCAAGAGCATTTGGGAGTCCTCACAGAGGGGAGAGCTTGTTTCACCGTGCCCGGTGTAGGGATCCACACTGTGTGGCAGGCTGGTCATCCTGCAGTTTTCGTTGTTTCACAGTGTGATCCAGCACTTTTCTCTCAGTGAGATATTTGAGATTAGCTTTGCTGCTAGTATTGATTTGGCACTTTGCATCACTACCTAAGTGGAGTAACTCAAATGTCATAGCCAAAGGTGGTCTCCAGTTCTGCACATGGCTGCACTCATGCTAAAGCACAGTAAATCTTGCATGAGCTTGTTCCAGCCAGACCCAGGATTCCTGAATCCGTGGTCCAACAGGCTGCTGGCAGCTGTTACACTTTGATATGGACCCTGCATTGCCATGGAGATTGGTGATGTCCCTACCTCCTCCTGCTTCTCACTTACTGTGTGTACCAGAATTGAACTGTTCTGTTAGACGTTCTTCACGCTGCTCTACTTGATCTTTTTCCTCTGTCAACATAATACCAATATTAATTTCATTGTCCCCATGGAAACATCTGGAATGAGTAATGGCAGTACAATTTATTTTGCAGGTTTTAAATCTCCTGACAGAGAAAGAGGTAAAGCTGGTTTTGCCAACACATGCCATCATTCCACGGACCTTCATTCTCAAGCCAGGAATGGTCTTGTTTTTAGCAGCCTTGGGACGTGTAGACTACTTACAGGTAAGGGAAGAAAGGATTTTGTGAGCAGCTGCTTCATCTCTTGTTAGAGTACCAGATGATGATAGGCTTTCTGGGTAGCTTCCCCAGACCCTTTCTTTGCTGCTTTTGAGACGATGAATCTGTTAAAGCACTGCATAAAGTCAGAATGCCTTGGCATGGGGAATTGCATTTGAAAGGTTTGATACTTGTTACCAGTGTGCAATATTTTATGTCGTATAACGGTAACTGCTTTTGAATGCTGACAAATGCCTTCAGCTTGATATGCTTCCCGTAACATACAAAGGCACGAGGCAGGGAGGGAGGGAAGGAGAAGAGTGCCAGAATTAACTGGGAAGAGGTGTTTTTCCTCATTTCTGTGTTTCATGAAAGCTGTCTGCCAAGAGAGAAAAGCATGGGCGTTTTTCTTTCCTTACATAGACCTGTCTGAAGAGTTTGCCCAAGGAAGCAATTAAATGTACATATATTTTAGTTTCTGTAAAAATATTTGTAAAAGGCACTGTATGTCTCCTCCCATGCCAATTTCTTCCATTTATTAGAATTCCCGTGCTATACACCTTTATTGGGCTGTATGGAGCTGACCTCCCATGATGTTACCTCTGGAAGGGGTGGTTCTTTCCAGATACGGGTCTAGCACTTATGATAATGCCTTTCTCAGTAGTTTGCCCCATTTTGAGAAGGGCGTGTGTGTATGGCTATTCCTTTGTTTGAGTCAGCTTTCCAAGATCGCCATAGAAATGTTGAATTGGTACTTTGCTGGGGACACTCTTGACCTGCTGGAAGAAAACCAGAAAGATGAAGGGGACAGAATTCTGTAAGCGATAGTGTATCAGTATGGCAGGAGAGCTCCATCATAGCTAAGGTGAGAATCCAGGGCTGTGGCCCAAAAAATAGCTTGGCAGTACAGAGGAGTAATGCCTCAGGAAAAATTGCTGTTTGTGAGGAGAGCAACCCAGCAGAAAAAAACCTGTCTTTATCCATACTGCTTTGGGCAAAGCTCTCAGAAAAGAACTTTCTAGGCATGTTGGTTAGGCACCAGCAGGGACTCAAGAAAGCACCTGGATTTGCATCCCTGGCAAAGTAGGACAGCGATACAGGTGACGTCTTGCTGGCAGTAAACACCTTCTGCAGAAACGCTGTGAGATCAGGCCAGCCTGTGAGTACGGATGAGGCCTCTGACACGATGAAGAGGATAGGGCAGGTAGTCTGGCCACAGGGCTGCCCGAGGGGTTGTTTTGTCGTGAGGAATGACTTCTGTTCTTGGGAGTTGTGCAGAATGCGGCTGGTGTTGGCAGTCTGGGGAACCTGAGGTCAGGGTAAAGGAGTGTCGCACCATCTCCTGATGAGAGGATCGGGCTCAGAGACATGTCCGGTGCAGCAGGGCTGGCAGTTAGGCTTCATGCTATAAGCCTGTTCTCCATGTAATGGTGCTCCTAGCAAGTAGAGCTGTGCACATTTAGGGTCCCACAGGTCTTCGGTATCTGTCTCAGCCTGTTGCTGTATCAGTCTTTTGTATCTACATCTTCAAGAGACCTTGAAGGAAGTCAGTTGTGCTCAGACCATGACAGAGGAGCCCCTGCCTCAGATTAGATCTGCGATGAACTTGAAGGAGGAATTGCTGCACATTGGTTTCCTTATTTCAGGCTGCTAGCAGTGTTTGTAGAGGTTTCTCCCCTCTCTGACCTCGTTTCCTTTGCGTGCAAAAGTCATGAGAGTGCCTGCTGAAATTGCTCCACATTCAGTCTTTGTATAGCTTGAGAGCAGCTTGGAACCAAGTAAGATTCGATGAGAGGTGCGTGTTAGAAATGTAAAATGATAGGAGAAGAAGCACAAGACAGGAGATGTCCATCACCTCTCATGCTCAATAACCACACGGAGTTTGTTCTTGAGAATTAAATGAGAGCAAAGATATCTCTTGGATGATTTGCCAGAGCTAGGCAGATGTGATGGCAGGGGATGTGGTACTGGGGGTGCTTTGGGGCAGGATGGTGAAGCCATGGGTGCTTCTCTCCTGGAAGCTCAGCTCCCCTGTTTATATAAACCCTGCAGTGACAGAGGCAAGGACTCCTCCTTGGACAAGGAGGGGACATCAGTCAAACAGGTTTTCAACATGCAGGAAAGAAACGGAGCAGGAGAGAGCAATTCAGGGCTGCTTTTCTGTTATCACAAGTAACATCCTCTTCTTGTTATTTATTTCAGGGAGAAAAGCCTGCCTGGTTTTCTGTCGTGGCTTCTAACCTGTTGCCAGTCCGCATTGCTACTCTGAGTAATGCAGATGCTCTCTACGAGAAGCATGCTGGCCAAGAGTTACTAAAGGTAAAAGGAGGTGCTGTCATGGGCTCTTGGTTTCAGATAGGCAGGCCGTCCCGCCCAGTGAAGCGCCCTGTCTGGGGCACAATTGACGGGGAAAACCAGCACATGTCAGGAGTTTGGGACTTCTGCAGTGGGAGAGTGGAGATCTGCAGTGTGGAGCAGTCTTGCACAGACTGCGTGGCTGCAGCTGTGTTAGGAGAGAGCACCCAAGATAATGCATTTTCAGCAGAGCTTCAGTTTCTAGCGTTCAGGCTGATAAGAAGGTTTGCGGTGCTCTGCTCTCTGATGCTTGGCTTTTCTTCAACAGCCTTAAAGTGCAGGCAGCAGTGGGGTATTTTCCATGGCAAACTTCAGACTTGGGTTTCAGAACGGATTGCAGTTGAAAAATGTACCTTTCTTATTCTTTCCCCGCTGGATCCTCTGCACATTCCTGCATATTTTGGTGGTCTGACTTTGTCCTTGATACTGCCACACACGCAGATTGATGGGGGATGGGGTGAGCTGTCCTTGTCCTGGCAGCTCCCTTCCTGCACACATCGAGAACAAGTGCTGCCACTCACATCAAGGCAGCTGGCTTGAGCCATCAGCTGGGTCCTGCACTGTGGGCACTCCATCTTTGCTCACCTCTGAGCTCCCACTGGGTTGCTCTGGATGTGACCCTGATTCCGTTCCTGGCAAACCTGGATTCAAGGGTATTCAAGCCAGCTCCTACTTGGATAACAACAGCCTAATATCTTTATTCCCCTTTGTGCCTTGCTCACCAGTTTAAGGTAGGAGTGCTGAAGCAACTCTTGACTGTTAAATCTTTTCTCCATGTTTTGATGTTAGGTTCCCATGGGTGGGGAAGAGCGAATGAAAGAGTTCCCCCCCCTTGTCCCTCAGGACATTACACTGAAAGGAATTGGTACCACGGAGGCAGTCGCAGATATCAAGCTTTCCTCTGCAGGTAATTTAATATTTCTTCATTAGTTTGCTTTGCAGGGTCTGCATCCTAGAAACATTGACGGGAAGAGGCCTCTGAAGGGATGAAGCCCTATTTCCTGCTCAGAGCAGGACTGTCACCAACACAAAATCAGGGTAGCCATGACTGTGTCTGGCTGAGGCTTGGCAACCTCCAAGAATGGAGATTGACAACCATGCTTGTACAGGATGACCACATTGGAATACTTTATGCTCTGGCTGCCATACAAGTTCCACAGCATCAGGAATGGCTGTGACACCGTCCACTGTTCAGGTGAGAGGGAAAGGGCCGTGGACTGGAAAGCTTTATTATTGTGGGTTTGGTAGTTCCCACCATCCCTCTTAAGTTCACCAGGAAAGAGCTGTGCCTGGGGAGACTAAGATGTGGCTTTAGGTGCTGCCTGCTATTGGGAAAGGAATGGATATTACCTTTGAGCTTGGTTTCTCAAAGAAATCACACCTGGGTAGCTCAGGTTCTTAGCCAACACAGGAGGCACTGAGTTTGCGTCAGAACCCTCGTTCTGATACTAGTCACTCGTCTCGCTGACTATCTTTTTTATTTTTTTTTGGCTGTGCAGGCTGGGTGGCAGTGACAGCTCATGCGGAAGAGCAACTGCTGCTCCGAGCCTATACTCCCAAGGGCACCGCGTTGGTGGTGCGGGAGCCTCCCCTTTTGCCGTACATCAGTACCATCAGAGGGGCCCGGATTGCAGGCACTGCTGCTTACAGGACCAAAAAGCCTCCTTCCCTGGTGGAAAACCTGAAAACCGCAGGGAAGAAATAGCACTTATCATCTGAGCAAGGTAGAAGACAGAAGAGCCTCTGGAGAACCTTGTTGCTTGTTGATACTCAGGAGAGCTTGGACTCCTTTTTAAAGGCAGACAGGCACATTGTTGAAAGCAGGCCTGGGGGGGAAGTACAGCGCCTGATGCAGGACTCCACAAGTCCGTGCCTGATCCAGCTACTGCAGTGCAGCCATTTTGAATGAGCTGAGTGGCTGATACCTTGCTATGAGAGGTGAAACAGCTTCTCCCTGGGACCTGCCAGTATCTATGAGCAAATCCCTTTACCTGTTTCCTCTTGAAATATGGGATGGAAACTCACCTGCCTGCCGTGGGCTGGCTTTGCTGCTCATAGAGTAGGTCTTCTCTTGCGGACATGCTCCCACAGGTCAGAAATTATCACCTTGTTGTTGGGGGCTTTATGGTGTTTCCAGAGCACGGGTATGATCCTCCTAGTGGCTGATAGTAATTCAGCAACATCGACCAAAAATCAGGTCCTTTCAGTCCTTCAATATCTGGGGGAGATGAGGGAGTGCAACACCCTGCTTTTGGACACGGGAAAGGTGAATTAATGAAAAGTAGGCTGCTCGCTTTGCAACTCGCTGCTTTGATTTGGTTTCTGTAGTTTTTGTAAAGGATTCTGAAACTGAGGGTGTAGAATAAAACTTTTCAAAGATACTTACTCCTTTGTATCCTTTTCAAATTGCTGACAAAGCACTCTTGTGTGGGCATAAGTGTCCTGCTAACTACACAAAAGCTCCAGCAGGAAGGCCAGTGTTGAGGAAAGTGTTTCATGCCAGATCTGACAGCCGAAGAGAGGTGCGGCTGCTCCAGCTCCATCCTGCCAGGATCAACCACTAGTGAGGCTGAAGATGTATTCCCCGTGGGCACGGAGCACGCATACACACCACATATATACATGTCTGGCCACACAGATCACAGAAAGACACACAGCGCTTAATGCGAACATAGCACCAACAGCCTGTAATCACACACACACACACATGTACGTGGTGGATCCCTCTAGCTGCTGGGCTCAGACACTCCATCTGCCCAGTAACTGCTGGTCCCTGGATGCCATTCTCCCAGTTGCTGGCACCTGGAGATGTGAGCCCCTGAGGCTGCAGTCCCGTTCCAGTTGCTGGTACAGTCTGGTGTACAGACACACAACTGGCCAGGACTGCCCTGGTCCCATAGCCTTGTGCTCTTACTCCTAGGGCCATCCAGGTGCTCTGACACCCTGAGCTGGCTTTTAGAGACCCCCACACCCCTTTCCTCCCAGGCCACTTCACCTGCTTTCAAGCTAGTCCAACTTGATCCTCACTAGCAATTGCACCCCCCTCCCCACTTCAGTTGCTGCACCATGGACACACAGCTCCTGCGATCCTCACTAGCAATTGCACCCCCCTCCCTACTTTAGTTGCTGCACCATGGACACACAGCTCCTCTGACCCACGGTCTGACTCCGGTTGCTGCCCCCACATTCCGATATGCACACATGGACACAGAATACAGAGCCCTTGCCCAGGAAAGTCAGAAAGGAATTTAACAAGGGCACAGGACAGATGGTGCTGATCAGGTGCAGGGCTTGGCCAGACATGCGTACCAACTAGCCAACTATTTACACACAACTAGCCTTCTTTATCCCCTTACCCCTCTATTTCCCACACTTGTTCCCCAAATCACCTAAATCCCTCCCTTTTCCCACCTTTGATTCCTCCCCTGAACATCCCATAATAAGTCCTGTGCAATCCCAGAATGTTCTTCCCCTGCATCCCCTGATGTGTCCCACACCACTAGACAGCAATCTCCCTTAGCCCAAAGGGTGACCGGGGGAGCTCCATGTCACACAGACTCAGCATGGTTGAGGTTGAAGGGACCTCCGGAGGTCCTCTGGTGCACCCCCCCTGCTCAAGCAGGGCCACCTAGAGCAGGCTGCCCAGGACTGTGTCTAGATGGCTTTTTATGATCTCTAAGGATGGTGACACCACAGCCGCCCTGTGCAACACCTGCACTAGTGCTCCTTCACCCTCACAGTAAAAAAGTGTTTCCTGATGCTCAGAGGGAACCTCCTGTATGTCAGGTCGTGCCCATTGCCTCTGGTCCTGTCACTGGGCACCACTGAAAAGAGCCTGGCTCCAAAGAGCCTGGCTCCGTCCTCTTTGCACCCTCCTTTCCGGTGATTATAAACATTGATGAGATCCCCCCAAGACAAAGACTTATGGTGATGGGTTTCACTCCTGGACAGAGGGGCTGATGGCTCTGCAAACAGAGCCCTGAAGGGGCCCAGACATGGTGTTCATTCCTCAGGAG